CAGGGGATCTCGTAGTCGAGCAGTCTCGACTAGAGCTTTCTTTCTTGTTAAAATTAAATTTCAGGGGACTTAAATCTTAATAAAATAAATAGAAATAGTATTTGTTTTCAATTCTATTGTTATTTAAATTGATTGTTTTAGTATTTATGCTTTATAAATGGAATACAATTTTATTAAATACCTAAAACATATTCTAACTCTACTATCAGATAATAGACGTTCTTCAACTTTAATATGCTACTGTTCAGAATGAGAAAATCTCAACGCAGAGTGTAGCTTAGCATTGAACATTTTTTGTCTAATGAAAAAACTACCCAAATAATTTTCCTGCCTTTTCCTGACCAAAGAAATACTTATAGCCAAAATGCTTTTACAATTATGAGTTAAACACTTTATAACTTGAACTTATTGGACTATTAATATCATTTAACAACAATCAATTATGTTACGTACTTTTGGAACGACCCACGATATCTACGCTTTTGTTGGATATGGTGTATGATTTGAATTCTAGAGGTCAAACCATCCCAACTCTATCTTTTCATAAAGTTATTTATTTTTACTACAAAAATGTGAAGATTACTTAATATGGAAAACATCTTGACTGGTATAAAAATACCTTATGCATTAAGTGTTATGTGATACACTGAAAAAATAGTGATAATAAAATTAAACTATATAAAATACTCCGTTGCAATTTGATAGCTAGCAATAACCTCTACGCCTTGCTATATGTGTATATATATAATCTGATCTAGGCATTCGCATGAACTGGATTCTGTGCAAGGAACAACTCTCACTTAAGGCTAGGCTCCCCACACACGCACACACACACACACACACATACACAGCTTTAGCTGCAAGAGAACACGTTCATAGTTTATGACTTCTTTAGAGTACTTACATATATGGCTCAATAATCGGGCTGAATGAGACTCATTTAGTCTATCAAGTTATCGCTGGAGCGGCTTTAGCTCCCACGCCTTACCACTCACACTCTCGAGTTAAAGTTGTTGTTGTTGTTGTTGTTGTCTGCGCAGGCGTAATGAGACAAAGGCAATGTCAAATACGCAGATCTCGAAATGTGATTGGCGCTGCAGAGACGTGGGTGGTCTCGCCAATAACACTCTGTGAGTGCAGAGTGAATGGGAGCTGGCTTTGGAGCCGTGGCAGGGACTGAGAGGGGCCACGCCCACGCCCACATGCGTAGATCGAATGGGGTAGAATTGATGCAAGATTTGCATGAGCCAACAAAAAATAAATAAAAATAAAAATGAAAGAATGAGAAGAGAAACCTCATTAAGAGAGCCCCCACGAATTAGATGCACGTGAATAAATCTTTGGCCAAGGGGCGCTGAACAACAAATAACAACAAGGCTCAGATAAAGGCCAACACAGACACACTAACCGGGCTAACCGAGATGCCAAAAGATACCGAGTGGAGTCTGTCGTTTGTAATGCCGGCACTTGAGCGCATTTCCCTGTAACTCTGTGTTTCATTAATAATCCGAGCGAGCGAGAGAGAGAGAGAGAGAGTGCGAGTGAGTGAGAACAAACGCTTCATAAATCTTGTGTCGCATAATTACAGTTAAAATTTATAAGCTTATCTCCTTAGCCGCAAATTTATTAGCGTGTTACAAGGCGCAACGGACGCTGCAGTTCGTCAAAGTCGAATGATGTCGTTGATGCCGGCTTTGTCTGACCTGGAGTTGCAGTCGGAGATGGAGTCCGAGCTGGAGCTGGAGTCGTGGCAGCGGCCGCGCTCATTATGGCCAAGTATCGAAAATGTGTATTTAAAACGGCGTGAAAAACAATTTGTTGCCAATTTTATGACACCTCGCGCCTTGCCACAACTCATCTGGCAGACGAGGACCGTGCGGCAAGTGAAGCACCAACAGATTCATTTGAAGTCCATGGAGCTGCAGCTGTGACGCGGCTGCGGCTGCGACTGTGACTGAGGCTGCGACTGAGGCTGTGGTCTCGGGCCGAAAGCGGTACTAAGTGTCAACCCCATAGATTTATGCGTATTGTCTTTTTTCGGGTTACTTGGGCTCACATTCCGGGAAGGCTTCGGCTGGGGCCAAGGCTGCTGCCAACCGACTGCCGAACATTAATCATTGGGTCTGGGGGTCCAGCAGTCAGCGGCAGCGGCAGCGGCGGCGGCAGCAGCCGAGGCGTTGTAATATGCCTCTCAGCTTCGCACTGCCAACCGGCAAATGGCAATTTGGAACTGAGAACTGCGAACTGCGAGCTGAGAACTGGGAACTGGGAACTGGGTAGCGGCACTTCGGGGATCTGGACCTCGGCATTTGGCGGGATTAATATATGAGCGCGCAAGGTATTTTGAATGGGCTTTTTATGGTCACATTTATTGAATTTATAACGTAATATACTCGCGCCATGACTCATTCTTAGACTTGCAACGCAGACACACTGCCCCAACTCCGATTCCACCTTACAGGTCCAGGTCCAGGTCCAGTTCCAGTGCCGACTCCACTGCGAAAGTGAGAGCAATAAAAAATTATGCTTAAACAAAATACTTAACTATAAATTCAACAAAATATTACTAAACTTAAATTGACTTTTTATGAAGCGCGTGCCATAAAAATTCACTTAAGCAACAAAACACCCACACTCGACTCGATCGCACACTCACTCTCCGGTCCGATCTCATTCCCATACCCTCTTTCGCCCCTGCTGAACAACCTGTGCGCGAATAAACTGCACTTTGTTATAATCGTGAGCAACGCGACTCGGATTCGGATTCCCCTTCGCCCGCGCCAACCCATCAAAACAAAACAAACCCGAAATATGTCACCAAACAATGAAACCCAATCCCAACTGTAAATCATCCACGGAATTAAGATGTTTGCACAGTCATCTGCTGTTTGTTGTTATTATTATTATTTTCTGTTGTCATTGTTGTTTTTTTTTTTTTGTCTGACTGCGGACATTTAATAACAATGTACTGAACCGCAGTAAATATGCAAATTTCCATTTAATAACTTCATTTTTAGACATTCTTTAATAACTTTTATTCTTAATATATTCATATTTTCTGCTCAAGTACGGTTGCTTGCGATTCATAGCGAGAGAGTGAAGAGGTAGATCGACACTCCAGCTCATTTAGCTCCATACCAAATGTTGTTCCTATGAAAATATTTACTTATATCTATATAATATCTATATTATACCTATATAATATCTATACAAGATCTAGAAGTTTATTTCATAAAAATATAATTTAAGCTTTATTTATTTTGATATATTAATATGAACATAAATCTTCACTGATAAAACATCCACCCAACCAGTTCTCATGTTCGTGTAGAAAGGATTTACTATTAAGTATTAATTAACTAAATATTATTTACATGTTCTTTTTCAGTACAATATAGTTCTCTCAGAAATATCCTTTAATATTTTTTTATCAATATAATATAATTCTAATACTTGAAAGAAAATGCTAAAAATTTTTTTTTCAGTATATAAGAAAATGCCTAAATATTTTTTATCAGTATGATATATATATTTTTCTGATACCTTTCAGGAATTGCTTTAATATTGTTTATCAGTATAATACTAATAAATGTAAGAATATCCTAAAAATAATTTTTATCAGTATTATATAATTCGTATACTTCTGAGAAAATGCTTCTCTCTTTCATTGAATAAATAATATTAAAGCCACTATCATCTACTAAATATATTAAATGTACTAATATTATAAATAACTAATTAATTTGTTTAATAACAGAATTCTGCTTTAAGCTTAAGATTCACAAATTGCTTTCATGCAACATACTCTGAGCAAACTTGAGTAATTATTTACTGTACTTAAAATATTCCCTCATTATATGAACATTATGTATGAGCTCATGTGAATTCTCGTTGTACAGCCTCTATTATGTGGCACAAGAGTTCGTGTCGCATTCAATTGCATTTCCATCAACATTATAATAATTTCGAGCATTTCATATTTTGACATCTTGCAGCAATTCGTTTCTTCTCCCGCCCCGAACCCTGCCAGCCAAAAAGACCCAGACAGTCGCTTTTAACACCTACGCGAGGCTGCGATTCAGGCAAAAGTTAAAAAGCATTTGCCGTCTCTTCAAGGTGTCAATTTCTGCCGCTGCCACACATACACACACGAACACACACACACATACACTCACACAGTTGTCGGTTTGATTTTTTATTATTTTCTTGGTATGCAAATTTAATGGCTAAATTAGAGAGAAAAACGTTTACGTTTTAGGCGCGATTGTGGAAAAAAAAAAAGAGAGAGATTGCCTTCCAGCGCAATTTGCATAATGAATTTAATGCGATTGTAATACCAGCAATTGTCGCTGCCCGATCTTGCCGAGCTCGACGATCTCTCCGATCGCTCCCATCTCAGCGATCTCAACGATCTCGCCGTCTCATTAATTGAGTAATTAATGCTGACGCCCACGGTCCATTAGGGCGGCAGCTGCCACGCCGATAACGAGCTAATCAACGTGATCGGTTGCTGATCTCGCCGTGGACCACCTACCTGGCGAATCGAATTCGAGATCGAGCTCGAACTCGAGCTGAAATTGTAAATATATGCTAAGTTCGAAGTAAGCAAATCACAACAAAGATTTCTGTATAATTTAAATGTTTATTAAATTATTTATTTTACTTGTGTACGTTTTTTGTTTTAATTTCTTTTCTTGTTTTACTTTAAATTTATTATACAAAAACACGCAGCGCAGCACACCATTCCCATTCGCATTCGCATTGGCATCCGCATCCGCATCTACATCCGCATCCGATTGGGCAAATCGCGTCGCGTGCGCCGAGAGGGGGACTAGAATATTTTACAACTTAATTGTTAAGCAACTTACACGCTAGGCCATACATTTAAATATTCATATTATTACTGTTAATTATACAATAAATATAGCGGCCTACGATGGGTCGGACGCTGCCGCTGCCGCCGCCGCCGCCTCCTGCAGCTCCTGCAGCTCCTCCTCCTCGCGCGTCAGCGGCACTGTGGAGTGATTGTAGAGGCCCTGGGCCATCAGCTGCAGCGCCAGCGGATTCTTGGTGCCGCTCGACTTTTTCAGCTTGGCTCGCTTGTTCTGGAACCAGATCTTGATCTGCGCCTCGTTCAGGCCCAGCTCCCCGCTCAGCTGCTGGCGTCGCTTCTCCGTCAAGTAGCGATTCTCGTTAAACTCGTGCTGTGTAAGCAGGCGAGTGAGAGACAGAGATAGAGATAGAAAGAGAGAGAGAAAGAGAAAGAGTTAAGCTTTTGCCCAGCTCAGCTGTGTGTGTCTGCACTCACCTTGAGTCGCGCCAGCTGCGTGCCGCTAAAGGCAGTGCGTGGTCGCTTGTCCTCCGGCACACCGGCGCAGCCGGAGGCGCCATCCGGATCGGACTTGTCGCCGCTGCTGCTGCCCGCAGCGCTCGATGCGGCTGGCTTCTTGGGCTTGCGAGTGCGTGGACCTGCAGAGAGTCAAAGAGGGGGAATGTAGAGGCGGCAGGTCATAAAAATTCCACGGCGCAGTTAATGGCAACAACATGACTGGACCACGGACCACGGACCACGGACCACGGACCACGGCCGGCTGCCAACTCATCGTGCACACATAAATCCTGCTGCTCATATATGCAACGCTTATGGCCAGCAATTAATTCACATTTAAATGCGTACCAGACAACCCCTGGCCAGCCGCCAGCAGTCAGCCCCCACCCGCCCAGCCTACTCCACCCCTGCTATTACGAGGGCAAAACAATTAAAGTTTCGAAAATTTGCGCGCGTCATTTTCTAAAAGTAATCAACGCAATGACTTTTGACTGTGGCTAATTTCCATTGCCAACCCCCAAGACAACACCCACACCCACGCCCACTTTTCACGACTTGAGTTGTCTTCCTTTTAATTAACAGCTGCGTAACAGACAAGCGCACAAAATCAACGTCTCCGGCACCCTCCGCCCCCATTCCCGCCCCATGCCTGAAGCAAAGTTTCAGCTCCTATCGAATCGCTAGGCAAATAACAAAATTTTGTCGTAAAAGGGTTTTGCCGAATGGACTTCGAAAAGTTAAGCTCATTTCAAGAAAATAGTTGAGCCAAAATGAAGCAATTATGAGGTTTACTAATGGGCGTTTCTGGTACCAAGGAATGCATCCTGCCACTGCCAGCCAGTTGACCGCAAGCTGTTTCGGTTTCGGCTTCAAACGTCTGCTGGCCAAAAGTATTTTGTAATATCAGCTTTCATTCATCATAAGCCCATTCGTTCTACTCCTCCTCTCCTCTTCTACTTAGTTCTTAAAGACCTAAATTCCTAGTGTAGTTATATTTTGGTATTATTTCGGTATTGAGTAGTGAAAAGATGATATTTAAAGTGCGCGGAAGTTAACTCAGAAATAAGCAGGAGTTTTTTTAGAAGTTCTTTAACTAATAGGTTTTATAGCTTTGCGACATGAGATTCGTGAATTACTTAAATTGTGGTGGAAGTTTCATAGATAAAACTTAATTATTTATCAGCCATTGAAGGCTAAGCTATGTTACTAAAGGATTCTATTTGATTTAAATGTTATCTGCAGTCGAGGAGTTATTGTGTAACTTTATTTATTCAACTTAAAGTCTCCGGTGCTTATTGCAGTAGCTAGCTATCAATCTTTCTCTGAAATATTCTATTACCATGTGTCCCATATTTTGATTTTGTCGTTATAAATCTTGTCTACAGGACAGAAACACTTTGCTTACTGAGTCTAAAGCTATCGAACTTACTAGAACTTCTCTGACCACGTATATATTACATCCACATTTTAGAGTCCACTTCAGATAACATCAATAAAGAACCTCTATTTAAGCTTCACATTTCCGTACATATACTATATATGTTATATACTTATTTTAGATATAGCAGATCATCTGTCAGATTTATAAACTCATTTGCCCATGATTTGTAGCCTGCAATTATAAGTTTGACTTCTGATGAAAAATAAATAAGAGATTTATATATAAGTTTTTTTAAAAGAGGTTGATGAGTTCATTCCCTAATTATTGTTCCACTCAAAGTCAAATTTCTCCATAGACAGAAACTATGCTAACTTATAAATTGATTTCTTCCTACATCGAATAGACTCACTAAACCTCTAATTAGCCCCCAACTAAATAAAGTCCCATAATACACAACACAGCTCGTTTCACTATCCCATGGCGCTTGACTTCTCTTTGGTCCATAGTGCGGCCGTGTTATCATTTTCATCACCATCCGGCCACTCGAACATCCTCTACTTACTTCGACCTGCAACGATAAGAAATGAAAGGAAAACATGTTACTTTTAAGAGCTGGAGCAATTGAAAATTAAATTTGCTTTTAACGCGAATCAATAAAATATCGAAAATTGATTAAATTCCTTAGCCGGGCAGCAAAAAGTTTCTGCGAGACGTGCGAAAAATTCCAAAAGAGAGAAGCGAGTAGCTTCAATACAATGCTTCGCGTTGGGCAAACAACCTTTAAAACAAATGTACCGGAACTAATGGCAACCGAGTCATGGACCTAAAGTTAAATCGTTGGAAAAATTGAACAAATCAATTTTGTCAACAATTTTTAGCCCGAAAGCTGACGACGGGCGCGAAATTAAACCAAAAACATTAACGGAACAGGGAACGTGCCTGTCTCTGCACGTGTTCTGCTCACAGAAAGGGGGCGTGACTAGCAGGCGAGACGGGGAGGGGGCTGGTTGTGACTGAGGTGTTATCACGGTTTTAAATTTCACACGCAGCTCGACAATCAACAACAATAACAGCAACAACAAACAACAGACCTTGAACCTGTCAGACAGCCAGGAGACGACGCCACGACTTCTGCCTCGTCATCGACAGCGAAAGGAGGCGCGGGGGCAGAGCAAGGGTCGAGCAACCACCCAGTCCAGGAACGCATGTTGCTGGGCAGATAAGCCGGCACAAGTTGCATACCAAGGCGTAGCAAGGACATTGCCAAGGGGTTGGCAGGTTGCCAATGGCCCTCATCCGCCTCCTGCTCCTGCTCCTGCTATTCACTTGTGTTCTGCAACAATTGCTGGTGGAAAATCTGTTCTGTTGCTGTTGTTGTTGCTGCTGTTTCTTGGCTGGGCATTTCCCTTTTTGTGAAAATTGTGATTTATAGCGTGTTAAATTTTTCATTGCTTGCTGCTCAAATTTGACACAATAAAAACTTGCAGCGCTGTGCCAGGCCATAGGATGAGCGCTGAAGGGCGCCCGCCGGGAGGTTTTGCCAAATTGGCTTTAATAGAAATTATATGAACTCAATCAACGACTGCGACAAGTTTGCTTTCAAGAGAGGCCGTAGCAGGGAGCTGGGTGTAATTCTAGGCAAAGATAATTCAAAGAGGCTATATTAATTGCTTGAGAGGGTATATCAATCTGTTGGATATATTAGAAAATTTAAATGATATGCTGAATAAGAGAAAGTATATGCAATAAAGGGATTAAAGAGATTTTAGAGAATGCTGATCCGTTTAGGGAGTGTTAAGTAACCTTTTCTCCTACTTCTTTATTGAATATGAAAAACTCTGTTTTATTTTATATGTTTTGTCATATAATATTTGTTTTGAACAAACTCTATATATAATTGTATAATATAGTGAAAATATGTATTCAAGGAATAATTTGACAGAACAAAACGGAGATCAACTTAAGCGGATTATAGCCTTGGCCAACCCACAATTTTCTGTGGATATTATTATATTAAATATATTACATAAGACTACATCTCGATATTTCAATCAACTGCTCTATGTTGCTTTTATAAAATAAAAATTTATATCTGAAATAAATTATGTAAAAGCTTAAAAAAAAGAGCAATACAAAAAGTCAGCCTTTCTCTGCGCTTCTCAGCTGTATACCTGTTCACTTTTCCAACTTAGCTCATTTGACTCTGGTCAAAAGCTGAGCAATAAAATCTATGCAAGAGCCTGCCAAAACGACGACAGCAACAACTGATCGACTTAACATGCACAAGGCTAAAAACGCGCAAATGCATTCACATAAATTGCGTTCATTTGGGAGCGGGCAAAAAGAGGACAGAGATACAGCAACTGAGAGGCAGCACAAGAAAATGCGGCAAAAACGGGAAGATGTCTTCATCATCGGTTGTTAAACGCAATGACCCAACTTGGTAAAAGCCGCTGCCAGCTGCCAACTGGCCAACAACAACAACTACAACTACAACAAAGAGTCAACCGATTCAGAGTCCAAGCGAAGTCGACTCCGACTGGAGTGGAGTGGAGTGGAGTGGAGTGAACTGGAGTGGAGTCGTTGTCCATTTGGGCATATGTTTAAAATAAGCGCATTTGTTTTATTTATGCTTAACATGAGTTGCAAATGCCAAAACGAGCCAAGGCACTCAACTGGAAGCAGATGAGTTACCATTTTGGCAGCCGACAATGATGCAACGTGAATGAGCGCACAACTAAATGCCAAGGGAGCTAACATACAATACATAATATCCGAACTCCGATTTGAATGTCTTAAATGGGTCAGCTTGGAGGACTATGGGGCCAGATCATCTGGCACACACAAAACTGACTGAAATTGACTTATAAAGATCTCAAACTAACGGGCCACACACAGCTTCAGCCGTCACACCGGAGCCGCAACAGAGTGAGAGAGCGAGAATTAGAGGGTGAGAGAGAGAGGCTGAGAAACCGGCCAGAGGCAGCTGGTTAGCTTGGGCCCAGGCGGCGACTGAGCCATGTAAGCGATATGTTTGACAGTGTCGCAGGGACGCGGGACGGTGCGAGGCTTTGCCTCAATTTTCTTGTTCTCGTTGGGGGCCTCTCGACTGATATCGGATCTTGTTGCCCAATCTAATGATCGGCCAGCTCATTAATAAGCCATAAAACCAACACGTTGCCATGGAAATTTACGCGTCGCAAGTGAAAGTCGATTCATTATGACAGTCCATAAATATGTGACGAACGTATTGAATGATTAAATGCACTTTTCTTCATATGGAGCCCGGTAAAATGATTAACACTCCAACGGGGGGACAGTGAAAGGTATACTTCTTATCTGCATAGTGCGTGATCTTTGCGCGCATAAAATAAATAAGCCAAAGCGGAATAAGCTGGCCTTCTACAGGCATCATATTATATATGAATAGTCAATAATCATGTATCAAATTAACGTGACTCCCACAACTTCTCGACATCTCTCAAGATAGTAAGATCAAAAATTTATTCTCTTTAGTTTTTGAATGTCTTTTTCACTAAAAAGATTTTGGATATCGTGAGATATGGTGAGCTATATACATTTGTATTTATATATGCCTAGGAAGTTTCTAGGTTGAGGCTAATTAGCTATAAATTACTCAGCTAACAGAGAATTAGGTTTAAACTTTTCAAAGGTTTCTTGAATCTGACGCCCAAGTACATTGTTACTCAAAACACTCTACCCTAAAATGCACAAACTATCTTCAAGAATATTCAAGAACTATTCGTATTCCTCTAAATATATATAAATAAATGATATATCTGTTTCGCTTATACCCAGTATTCAGCAAGTCGTTATGCAATTGTTTGAATATATATCATCAGAAAATCTTTTAAAACAATTTGCCTACGGAACAATCGCATCAATGTAATTATTACTTTAAAACAAAACAACTATTTATTTTATACTCTCACACAGCTCATAATATACCACTAATATGTGTAATCACTTCGACTTGTACTAACCCAAATGAAACGTTTGTGCAGCAATCCATGTATTTTATACGAAATTGATTTAGCTTTCATCTTAATCTCCTCTCTTAATGCACATTCCAATGGCATTGGCCTATTGTCTTCTACCTGTTGCCACCTACAAAAAAATCGCAGCGTCAATTCGCTGTTGCTATCTGTTACGCCCGCAGCCCCTCTCGCCAACCCCCTCTATCTATCTACGATGCTCTAACGATCGCATGACAGGCAAATTAACGCTGCGGTTGCGATTGCAACTGCGATTGCGGCACCAATGCCTGAGCCATTGTCACTGATGATGATGATTGACACGACGATTGATTCGATCGCACGTTAATTGAAATGATTGACACGCCGCAGTCGCAGTTGCAGTAGCAGTGGCAATCGCAGACACAACTAACATTCTCCAGAACTATATATATATGTATATGTATATATTATCGATGACTTGGATGTCGGCAGTTGACAAACGATGCCGAAGCCGAAGCAGTTGGCGATACTTGTGGGCCGGAGGAGGGGGTGGTGGCTAGCCGAACTGTCAACGGTTTGTCTATCGCTCAATCGGATCGTGGCGCAAATCAAAAATAGATACTGCACGCTAAACGGCTAAGATGGCTTGGCTCTTAGGCCTAATCCGACGACGATCAAGTTGAGACTTGTCGGCCTTACCGCACACAACATTCCAGCGCATAGTCTGCGCTGTCACATGGAAATATTTAGATATATTTTTAATTGCTTTATCAATATTGTTGTTGTTGGCTGTTGGGCGTTGCTGTTAGCCGTTGACTGTTGCAGCTGGGCCATTTGCATGTTTTGGCCATGTTTCGCATAGCAATTGGCCAATGTTGAGCCTTTCATCGACCGCACTGCTGCGCTGTGTGAAAGGCGTCAAAAACATGTTAAACAACTGAGGTCGATGCGAAAGGAAAGTGAAGACTCGATTCAGTCTTGAGGAGTAATAACTTATGATTTATGCTGGATATGCGAGTAGTGCTACTCACTGGAACTAACCTAGGTAAACTGCCTAACCAGCATACATATATCATAGGCTTTTGGTCTTTAAAAGATTATTAGACCATTAACTTATTGATTGATTATAGCTAAACAAAAAGTTCAGACGTAAATTGTAACCAGTGAGAATTTGGTAGAGCTAAAACTACCTGACTAGACGATACTCAGTATCCTTGCGGAAATTTTTTTCAAATCTTCAATATAGTTTATTATTAAATAAATAGCTATTCCACGTATAGATGGGTAAACGATATAAGCAGATAGACAGATAAAACATCTCGAGCATTGATTTGATTGGCATTTGGCTTCTTTTCAAACTTACAAAATATTTGCTTCATCTAGTCAACACATTAAATATTTATATGTATGAATAGACTCTTCAAAATACTTAAACTCTTTCTTTCCGTTTCTCTCCCTCTTTCGCTCTCTATCTTTATTTATCTCTTACTAGCTAATTGTTTACCCTGCCCCCAATTACCGCATTCGATTGGAAACAACTTCATTTAACCTTTGCAATTTTCACACTAACACTTTTACGCTTCAGTTGGCGAGTTGCGATCGTAAGTAAGTGCTGCGATCGTATCGTATCGGATCGGATCGGATCTATTTCGGTTTTCGGTTTCAGTTTCACATATATGCGAATAACATTGATTGGGTCCCTGTGAGACCGCACAGCGACTGCAACTGCAACTGCAACGACGTTAACGACATCGAAAAAAAATTGCAAACCGCATTTTCCGCTGATATTAGCAAACAATTTCATTAAGAAACTGCAATCGATACGAGGAGGCTGAAGCGAATCTGCTTCAAAAGCCATCAGGTGGTTGGCTTACTGGCTTACTGGCTGCCTGAATGGAGATGGAGGTCCGCTTCGATATCGATATCGAGCAGCCAGAGTATCTGAAAGTATCTGCATCTGTAACTATGAAAGCATTTGTATTGCTGCTGCTGCTGTTGGTGCTGCTGGATCTAGTATCTGGCTTAATAGACCCGTCGCACAGCTTTTGCAATTGAGGTGTGAACATTTCACGCTTCTATGGATATTTCGACTAAATTAGCGCCGACTGCGCCACATCTACGGATCTCAATTAACGCAATCGCTAGCCCACAGATTACTGCAATGCGGCATTAGCTCAAGTTCGAATCGAATGGAAACCGCGAAATGATTGGCTGACTGACTGGATGATTAACTTACAGAGTGATTGGTTAAGGCTATGATCGACTGACTGGATGAGCTAATCATCGAGAACCTTATGATCGATATATTGATTAGCTCACTGAATCACTAGCCAATTGATTGCGATTGACTGAAGAACTTAATGACTAACTGGTTGACTGAGTGATTGACCGACTAGCTTACTAATTGATTCATTGATTGACTGACTAGTTAGGACTCTTGTTGGCTGAATGATGGACTATAAAATTTACTAATTGATTGATTTCGTCACTGACTGACCGTATGATTGATTAACTATA